GATCAGGAAATGGGCTTCCCTTTTCACCCTTCTTCTTGAGAAATTTCAAGATGCCACTGTTGGTTGTTTTAATGTAACTTATGATTTTATTTCCTTTTTTGTCTGTTTGTCCCACTCCACAATCGCCGTTCAGGCCATTTTTCTAGTTGGAACAGTTCAGGGCCAGCTGTGGCCATTTGGTTTTAAGTGGAAACTGTCTCTTTAAATTTCGAGGAGATCTGTGTGCATGCGTATTAGAACCCTCTGAGGGTGGGGCTGGGGTGTCCACTCACTCAGGCACCCCTATAGTCACCAGAATGGAGGTGCACAGTCAGCAAGAGACCAATGAACAGATACTAAAAGAAAAGAATGTCCACACCTTTATCTCTGCAGTTCGGTCAGGTGTCCGTGGCTGCTCTGATCCTTTCCCCGGTTGGTCTCACCCAAGATGGTGGCTCCTGGAGCAGCTAAGCATCTTGAATTAGAAAGCAGTGAATTTCTTAGTTCTGCTACCAATTCCCCTAGCTGTGAGCCTTCCAACCTTCTAAATATTTCTTTATATGTAGTTCAGAGTTCTGGGACCATCCTCTGAACCTGTTTGGTCCTGTATTCTGTGTTGTTGCTGATGGAGCTTCTGACTACACTTCCATCCGATCCACCATCTTATTTGTTCTTAGTCCATCTTTTTGTAACATGTTTATAATTAAATCCTGACACTCTATTTCTTCGTCTTCTTCTTCACCTGAGGTCCTGATATTGGCTGTAGAAATCTGCCCGAGAAGTTGATTATAGTGAATGTTTCATTGTCTCTTTAAAAAAGGTTCTTCCAGATGAAATGGCCTCCATGGATGGTTTTACAATATTGCAGACAGTGGGAAAAGGCTGTCAGTGGTTTCTGAAATCTGCCTGAGGCAGTAGGGTTGTCTCCAGCTGTGTTGTTTTGCTGTTCACACATCTGTATTCTTTGTCTTAAGTAGAGTGGAGAGAGACTCTGACTTCCTGGTGTTTTCACGAGGCTGTTGGAGCTATCTGAAGTCTGTTCTCTACTGTTACTCCACGTCATCCTTCTCCTGGTCCTGGGCGCGTATGGGGAACTCGTACTGTTTGAAGAGGAGTGATTTAGTTCCCAACTCTACCACCGACTGACCCCATGGTGTTGGGCACATTGGTTCTCCCTCTCTGGTCCCAGCTCCTCCTCGGATCTCCTCAGGTGCCCTCTCAGGAGGTCAGCTGTAATGGCCTGGGGGCTCCGTGGGTGGAATGGAGATACAGAATCAGGGATCATGGCTAGCTGACTACACTAGAACAGAGAACATTCTGCCTTTTTCTTTGTGTTTGAAAGTTGCATAATGAAAACATATAAAAGTTAAAAGGGAAATTAGTAGTGAAGGAGGTGATCGGATGTTGTGGTTGGTGTTGTGAAGTGCCGTCAAGTTGATTCTGACCTATAGTGACCCTGTATAGGGTTTCTGAGGAGCAGCTGGTGAGGTTTAACCGCCAACCTAGCAGTTCAAATGGCTTTGCAGTCTGGCGCCTTAACCCACAGCACCACACCAGGACTCCTCTAAAAGGTAGAAGAGATGAACTTCTCTGGCAAGAAGCCCCTTCACACCCTGAGCTCTGGTTATAACAGTCATTGTGGGAATTCAGTAGCCAACCGCATGCACTGATTTCCAGAGATGAATTTCTGTGTTGTGTATTTGGTTTAACCCTGACTTCTGATACCCTCGAAGGTAATTAAGCTCTTTGTGCAAGTTGTGGAAAGAGAGACAGAAAGGCAGGCATTCTCGATGACCAGGAGACCTTGTGACGAAAGGAAAGAAACTAAAATTACAGGGCTGTTTCCTCCGAGCCTGATGCTTACAACGTCTGTTTTGTGACAGGATATTTTACCATGTGTACCGTTTAATGTGGCCAAAAGCGTGAAGTCTTTGTATCTGGGACGAATGTTCAGTGGGATTCCCGTGATCAGGCTACGCTTCAAAAGACTGCAGCCCACGAGGTGAGAAGGGGATTTATAACAAACAGACATTCAAAGGGTCTTTGTGTATAAACAGCCACCATGGATGAATTCATAATAACCAGACCCATTACTAATCATCAAGTGGATTTTGACTCTTGGTGACAACTTGCACAGAATAGAACTGTCCCATAAGGTGCTCTTGACAAAAATCTTTATGGGAGTGAATCCCAGACCTTTTTATCCATGGTACTGCTGAGTGGATTTGAACCACCAACCTTTAGGTTATTCATCAAGTCCAAATTCTGCCACCAAGGGACCTCACAGATGCTAGAAAATGGAATCTGTGCATGAGAGGCCATGTTGTCTTGAGTACAGTGGATCCCAGAATTCCTGGTCTGAACACTAGGCCTGTGAGTGACTTGTCTGTCACCAAAGGGTCCCACCACCCAGCCCATCACCTCGCTGCTAGGGAACCTGCTATGGTAGTGCCGGAACGAAAGAATGAGGGTGGTTGCTAGCGTAGGAGATATGTACCCACATGACCTTAGCTTGCTTACCTGCTGCTCTAATGCCAGGTCTTAAGCTCCATAGAGGAAGAGGCTGTGAGTCATTCTGACCGAATTCTAATTTGTTTCTCGGCACCCTCGTGGTCAGACTTGTGGCTGAGTTCGACTTTAGAACCTTTGACCCTGAAGGTGTCCTTTTCTTTGCTGGAGGCCATCAAGACAGTACATGGATCGTCCTTGCTCTGCGGGCCGGCAGGTTGGAGCTACAGCTCCGCTACAATGGGATTGGCCGAGTCACCAGCAGCGGGCCTGTCATCAACCACGGCATGTGGCAGACGGTGAGTGGGGGGGTTTCTTGTTCTCCCTAAACTCAGCCTGCGACTTTCCACCATAGTCCCGCAGAACACGGCTTCACCACCAAGGCTGTGGTTCTCACATGGCGGGGATTCCCCTGACACGGACATGTGTTACGGTCTGGAAACATTCCTGGTCGTCACAACTTAGGAGATGGATGTGGCTAGTCTTGCTGGCATCTTGTGGGTATAGGATAGAGGTGCCATCCTATAACACACATGGTGGCTCCTCACAACGAAGAATCCCTAGGCTGGAGGATTAGCTTTGTGCTCCCTGTTCCTGTCTGTGTGTCTCCTTGGCCCGGAGTCTGAGTGGGAGGCAAGAGCTCATCAACATCTGACCGTTTCAGTGTAGGGTAGAGTCCAATGTGCCGTACAGAACTGTGAGCATTCCCCATGGGTTTCCATCATTTCTCCCCAGGAAACAGATTTCTTAGATGCTAGTGGGGTCCATTCTTGGGTCTGACCCATCTTATATCCAATTCCATGGAATACAGTGGTCTGTAGTATGACAGACTCTTATTTTCAGTGCAGAGAGTCACAGTAACTGAAAGTGGGCTTTCAGAAGTAATTGTGAAAAAGAAATGGGAAAACCACTCTTGTTTGCCTTAGAAATGAAGATAAAATGGAAAACTTCACCCTGGCCTCTGAGAATAAAAACACTGTAGACATTTGCTAATATTTCCATCCTGTCAAGTAATGTCTATTTCCTTTCCTAACTTCTTAAAGTGACAAGGCTCTTCAAAGTGGCAGGAGGGGTGTTTCCAGCACAGCTACAGATTAAAAGAAGAATCGTGCATGAGAACTTTTCAAAGATTAACAGACCCTGCAGTCAACAGCTAGGAACTGCTGGGGGCTTCCTGGCTCCGTAGCTTCCTGGCTTATTTTGTGTGGGGATTGAGGGAATGGGTGGCCTTGAGAGGAGATAGCTGCATGGAAACCATGAGCTAGCTGATCTGCCTGTGGGTGACTCAGAGCTGCCACCACACCCTGCAACACTGGGGAACGTGTGGCAGAGCCAGGGGGGGTCATTCTTGAGGTGGGTTAGATCAATTGAGACATTAAGTCCATTCTTGAGCAGGTAGGTAGGTCAGATCAGTTGAGACATTAAGAGGTCTCCACCTCTTAATATAATACTATACCTCACATGCACAGGCTGTACATGTTCTTTCTTGATCCTTTGGACTGTCACATACACCCAGTAGCTAAACTCAGATTCAATACCGGATTTATTTTTCACTTGAGCTTGGAAGGAAATTCGTCCACTCCTCAGAGATGAGTGCCCAATCGGCGGGGCGCCCCTGTAGGTAGTAGTATTGTTGTGAGGTGCTGCAAAGTCACCTTGGCCTCATGGCGACCGCATACACAACAAACCAAAACATTGCCTGGTCCTCTGCCAACTTCACTATCTTTGGAGGAGTACACAAGTCCATTGTTTAGAGCACTGTGTATTTTCAGTACCTTCCAACCTAAGGGGTCATCTTCTAGCATTATTTATGATCCTTAAAGTTTTCATTGGCTTATTTTCAGAAGTAAGGAGCTCTGGTAGCATAGTGGTTATGAATCAGGCTGCTAACCTCAAGGTCAGGTGTTAGAAACTACCAGCTGTTCCATGGGAGAAAGATGAGGCTTTCTACTCCTGTAAAGATTTACAGACTTAGAAACCCTGTACAGGGTCGCTATGGGTCAGAACTGACTCCATGGCACACTACCACCCCTATTTTCAGAAGCCAATCACCAGACTTTTTTTCTTAATTTCTTTTGGTTGTCTGGAAGCTTCACTGAAGCCTGTCCACCATAGGTGGGGTGACCTTGCTGGTTTCAATATACTTACTGGCAGCTTTATCACTTTCAGCACCATAGCACCATGTTAAGCACCACAGACTGACAGATGAGTGTGGATAGATGGGGTCGTAGATGAGTATACTTCTCATTCACAAGATCAGGGTACATCATGAACTACTCTCAGCAGAATTATTTTATGAGAGTCCTGAGGGAGGGCCACACCACCTTCTGAGCTGATTTGTGAAATGACAGTGAGTGTCATTTTCTCTCCCTTGCCCATGGCAGATATTACTCAGTGATCACCGCATGTCTCTGCCTGTTGAGTAGCAAACTGAAGCTTCCTTACCATCCCTGGGCTAGACAGTCTCCCAAGTCTCTGGCAGTACTAACATTGCTAGGCCTCTGTGCAGAAATAGGTGTTATCATGGCAGATTGTCTTCTGTGCTTGCCCAGAGAGTGCATAAAAACAAGAGAGAGTCATCCTTTATGGAAGGGAGTCAGGGATGACCTCGTGATGGAAAACATTTGAAGTAGGGATAGGAAAAAGGTGTTTTACATAGAGCAGTGGCATTGGCTTATGGAAGAAAAAGTGGTTTCTTCAGAAAATGGCGGAAACAGGATGTCAAACATGAGGCCTGGGGAGACAGGAAGACAGGTGACAGGTTAGTCCCAGTGTGAGGCCTCTAGGAGCCTTGTGAGGGAATTCCTGCTTCTGAGGATCCCTGACTGGCACACAGAAGCTGTACTATAGCTTGGTTTGGTGGTCATTTAAATAAAAAAAAAAATAAAAAAAGGCAGCAAAAATTGCCAACTTTCTGATAGAATCCAGCCTGCTTTTACATCATCTAAAAACTATGAAACCCTAAAACTGGACGATGGTGAGCCCAGATGCTAGTACCCTTAGGCACCTGGCAGAAGCCGATGAAAGTCATCTGTGAGGAAAGAGCCTGTGAGCAAAGAAATGGGAGGGAAAGACAACCTAAATTTGATCGTTAAATTATTTTTACACATCATTTCAAGTGCGGTGTTCATTACACTATCAAAGACAATTAGACACACAGAAGACATGATGGAGGATAATTAGCTAAAAAGAGACAATAAAAAGAAATGATCTGAGACTACAGATAGATCATGGAATCAGTGGACTCAGCTGGTAAAAGCCAACACTTGAAAACTTTGGCAAGAAACGGGAAATGATTAAAAGTGAAAGGGCAGATTTTGGAAAGGGTTAGCCTGTAATTCCATAACCAAAAAATATAAAACTACAGTCCTGGGGTGGCGCTGTGGGTTAATGCACCAGATTGCAAAGCTGTTTGAACTGCAAGGTCGGTGGTTCAAGCTCACCAGGCACTCCTGGAAACCTTATGCAGGGTCGCTGTGGGTCGAAACCTACTTGACAGCATTTAACAACAACATACAAATACAACAGCAGAAGTGACCATTAATCCACTGGAGGAGAAGTCTAAGGAAACTATCTAGAATGAAGTGACATAAAGGGGTGAAAAAACACAGAAAAGCAGGGGAGACATAGTATAAGTTTGTAGTGATACAGTATAAGAGGGTGACGGGGTGGTGGATTGGAGGCCCAGAAGATATAAGAGAAGGAGCCAAGCAAATACTCAAAGAGATAATGACTGAGAAATTTCTAAATGGATCAAAGTCAAAAGTCTATAGATTCAAGAAGCCAAATGATAAATAAAAATACGTCTGTTACTTAATAAGCATAACTCTGAATCAAACTCCAAATAACTACAGAAAAGAAAAAAAAAAAAGATTCTGGTCATACAACTTTGCAAATACAATAAAAATCCAATAAATTATACCCTTGAAACATAAAACAGACTTATGGAAAAAAAGAAAGAAGAGAAACTTAACAGACATTGGCTTTACTTAGAGTTGCAGAAAGACCCAGGACAGCCCTGAAAACAGTGTCCATAACAGAAAGCCCTTACAACACACCAACCTGCACATCATCAGGTGTGTTGTTAAGGATCTTCACAGCAACCCCACATCTGTTTCCCAGACAGCTGGGCATAGGTGAGGGAATACTACTTGCTTTAAAAGTCCAGTGTTCATAGTAATCAATATCGCTTACCATAGTCCAGTAGTGTGTTTCCTGTGGTCTTGGGAGGGATATATGCTCAGTTACAAGATTGTGTTAGACTCAAGGGAGACCAAAGCTGTGGCTTTTCACCAAGAGTTCATTTGTCTCAGTACAGTTGGATTCACCAATCAGGCATCACTTTGTAATAAGTATTGTCTCTTCTGACCTGCCTTTATCTGGGTCTCGGAGAAAATGACAAGAAAGCAGCAAGTCAGAGGTTATATATTCCTAATAGAGCAAAAGAAAACTGTTTGTTTTTGTTATTTTAGGCCTTCCCAAACATATACTAAGCAAAAATAGCTTTCAGGAATGAAGGTAAAATGAAGACCTTTTCAGAAAAATAAAGCAGTGAGCTCATCATCAGTAATCATGCACTAAAGGAAAGGGCATGTCTGTTGATAATTCACTCAGTATTCTCAATCATCTCATGCGCATGTGAAAGCTGGACAGTTGATGCCTTTGAGTTATGGTGTTGGAGGAGAATATTGAAAGTGCCATGGGCTGCCAAAAGGACCAATAGATCTGTTTTGGAAGAAGTGCAGCCAGAGTTCTCCTTGGAGGCTAAGATGAGCAAACTTTGTCTCTCATACTTTGGACATATTGTCAGGAGGGACCAGTCGCTGGAGAAGGATATCATGTTTGGTAAGGTGGAGGGTCAGAGAAAAAGAGGAAGACCCCCAGCGAGATGGATTGGCCAAGTGGCAGCATTGATGGACTCAAGCGTGCATAAGGTCGTTATGAGTCGGTACTGACTCGATGCCACCTAACAACAACAAAGGAAAGTTTAAAAGGCCATCTGTAGGTAGAAAACTTTTCATCTGAGATGAAAGCAGAAAAGAATAAAAAAAATGAAAACAGTAATTCTATGCAAAAGTTGAGCAAACACTAACAGTTGGTGGGTTGAAAGAAAAATATGTAAATAGATTAAAATATCACAGTGGCATTTAAATCAGGAAGAGTTTAAGCTTTTTTTTAATGTTCTAAGGTCTTTGCATTGTTCAAGATGTAAGTAAAAGTACCCTTTAGCGTTAGACTTTGATAAACCAAACCATAGATGTAGTCATCTCTAGGGTAACCACTGAAATAACAGGAAAAG